GGCTAGGGGTTTATGGTAGGGTTAATTTCACATAACTCCCCTGAGGTTTTTAATAATTGCAGAAAGCTCCCCTCAATTTTTAAATATTACACTTACCTCCCATATTTTCACTATTTAAGTAATATTCTAGACCCAAAAGGCTATATTTTTCCCAAAATTTCTATAATACCTTTGAGTTATAATTCACAACAAAAATATAAAGGAAGAAAATGGTTTACACTCTCTATTTCATTTATCTTTATTTCCTACCACTATTACCTACTTATCAACATCCAAATTACCATTAAATAAACACTTATTTTTGTTCTAATGTTCCTGTTTTACCTAAAAAATTTTCGATGCAGACCATTGTATCAATTATAAACGCTACATCATATATTCAAAAACTTACCTATAATCTTATAACAATGTTAGATTTTACTTAATATACTACAATATTCATCAATATTCTTAATTTTCAATTTCATGACTGCCACTTTTTTAATACAAAATAATCTAAACCATCACTACTAATATCAATATCCAATATATTCCCATTGGCCCAGAGTTCAAAATCAATCAAATTCTCTCTATAGGAATAATATCAATAATTATAAATCAAAAATAGAAACTCAATGTAGTTATAAATATATACCAAAAACACTTTTTTTCATAATAACCATAATGGTATAACTTATATTTAGTTCCTATTCCACTTCTTGTCCTTAATTTTTATTTTTTTATCACTGTAACTATCTTCATCTCTATCTAATTTGATAACGAAATTAGTACTCAATTTGTCATTTGACAATTTCAATTTGCTAATACCTATCAAAAATTGGAAACAAAAATGGGTGCAAGGAAACCATTTACTAATAATGAAAAATCAAGGATTGGGAATAGATACTAAGATATATAAGTATTGGTGGTTTAGTGTGTATAGTGATTTCATTAGTAGCGACAGTACACATTTGGTTGATAATAATAGATAAATGAGTTTGAAAGAAAAATAAATGTATGAAAAAGAGAATAGATAGTTAAATAGAAAAGACCGTGGTTTGAATTATTGGTTAATAATCGATGAGAGATTTTAATATTTGATAGAGTTTTTCAATGAGTTGACAATTAATAAAGGACATTATTGTCTTTTTATCACAACAAGGGAGGCCTATGTAATTATGTAAACCTTAAGAGACCGAGTGAAATTGTCAAAAATCTCAAGGGAGGTTTCTGAAATTATTCCTTTATGGTAAGAACACCTTAACAATCTTGCCGTTTAATTACACTAAATTACCCTAAAATTAGGAATGAGTTGTATTTTGGTGCTGAATTCTTTTCTATCACCATTTTTGCCCTCTGTGAAGCTCATCAGCCACGCCTTTAAAAACTCCATAATGACTTTTATGCCATTGGAATTTAGTGCATAAATTTTATTTTGTCTTTCTTCTTGTTTCCAATTTCTTTTTTTTCCCTCTTTGCCATCACTTCCCCCATCAATATTATTGTTATTATTATTGTTCCATTTAGAATAAGATTATTAATTTTCTTTAGATTATTGTCTTGTTTTACATAATTTGTTTATTTGTTGTTTTGAGTCTAATCATAAGCTATAACTTTGTTATATATATTTAAGTAATTTAAATACAACATCAAATAAGATTCACAATGTGAATCTAAATGAAAAAAAATTGCAGTGTAAGCTATTTTTTGTATAAAGTTTATAGTGGATTATAATGAACTAAAAAGCAATTAATTAAATCACAATAGAAATTAAAACTGAACTAAAACATATTAAAATTTTTATTTTTATGTAATCAAATAATAAAAGGAAGCGGGGAAGGAGAAAGGGGAAATGACAAAATAAATAGAAAGAAGAAAGGAAATAAACTTGGCACTAAATAGTCAAGGACTTGCGTCTCATTTCATTGGCCCTTTTAAATAGGTTGAGTAAGAATAAACCATCCACCAAAGCACTTATGTAATTATGGATAGTTTCATATTCTCCTAAACTTTTTCACATTTGGCATGTTTTAATTTCCTACAATCAAAATAAAATCACATATAAAATTGTAAAGGCAATGACACTTAGTCTTAGACACTTAGTTAATTGTTCTATAATTGAAAAATGCAAAACGACATTTTAATTGGTCAAGGGTCATGATATAGAGCAATCCATCCTAAATTATAATTATTATTAACCTGTGTGCGGTGCTAGATGAATAAACTAGGACTGTATAAAAAATCAATTGACTAAAGTGATGGAGATGTAAAGTATAGGGACTAAATTTGCAAAATCTGCCAGCATTAATGTTTTTCTTTTACATTCAGATATTTTTTTGAATTTTAGTTGCCATTTACAATTATCTTGTTCTTTTTTTCCTTATATTGACCATACCCGCTGCCTCGGTGAATAAATAGTGATGGCAATTGGAGCAGGTATCCTCGTAGGGACTGATTGAGACGTAGGTGGGGGCATTTTTCCCCGTTAAAAAAAGGGGCAGAGGCCCAGGGAGTATGCCCCCACCTCGCAATCGGTTAAAAAATTTTAAACATACATATAAATAATTATATATATAAACTTATAATAATTATATATATAATTAAATACAAAATATATTTAATTTAATTATTTATAAACTTATAATAATATTATTACTAATTATAACTATTATATAATATATATTATTATATATAATATAATTAATATAATCAATTATATTAATAATTATATAAGTATACTTATAAAATTATTAATTAATCATGCTAAATTTACTAGTACGTTTATACTAAATTTCTAACTATACTTAATATAATAGCACTTTTTGTTAAACAAAAAAATAAGAGTCGGTGAAACTACTGCTCTCACAAAGAAAACAGGGTAGGACGAGAGAAACTAATGGACAACGGCTCGGGGTGCGGGGGACCGTTGCCATTCCTATAAGGGGCTACTTGGTTAAAGGGTTTGAAAATCACAGAATGGAATAAATTCCTTATTTGTTGCTTGGGTTACACCTATTGGAATGCAATGTTTAGAATCATTTCTAAAAAATGGGACTTATCCCATTCCCGAATAAATTGGGAGGTTTTGGACAAAACCCTCACCTCATTCCATCGGACAATATTTTTTACGGACCTACCCATCACATATAAAACTCCTCTACCCTCTCTTTCTCTCCATCACACGCTGCTCTTTCTGTTCTTCTTCTTCATCAGTTTTCCTATTTCTTCTTCTGCATCATATAGTCTTCATATGTAATCCACAAGCTCTTGAAAAAAAAAGGATCTAAAGTAGATCTAAATGGATTAATAGTAGGTAAATATCTTCAGCGGGCAAATTGCTCGACAAGATCTCCACGAGAAAGATCTCTAAGAAAAATTGAAGAAAACCCTCAATCTCAGCATTGGTGATGTGTTGATTTGAATTGTCGTGGCTCTGGAATTATGGATGAATTCCTAGAACTGGAGTGAAAAGGGATCAGTTCTGATTGGTTGGTTTTTTGTATTGATTATGATGATGAGATAGTCGAAATTACAGATTGAATCTCAAATGGACTTATGGCATTGTAAGCGTTTGAGATTTTTTGGACTGCATTTGAATTCTCTGGGATGCAAATGTGTGGCTTTGGTTGTCATTGTTTTGGTTCTTAGAGCCGTCCTAATCTTTCCTTTCGCTGGTTTTAGAAGGATAGAACAGAACAAACTGGTATTTTTTCGCAACAATTCTTTGCCACAAAATCTGCAATTACAGATTGGAAACCCAAATCCAAGACTTTGTAGGTTTTGTGATTTAACATTTTTCTGATTTTATCCAACTAATAAATTAGCTTATGGAAAAATGGAAAAATGGATAATTTATGGAGGAAAGTCATAAAGAGCTAGTGTTTTATTGGAGCACAGGTTTATTTTTATTTTATCAGATAAATAAATTTGTTTATGGAAAAATAGGTACTCTGTTCTTATAATGGAAGAAAATCATAAAGAGTTGGTGTTTTACTGAAAAACGGGTTTATTTTTATTTTATCCGACAAATAAATTTAGTTATGGGAAAATGGGTACTCTGTTCTTATAATGGAGGAAAGCCATAAAGAAGTGGTGTTTTATTGAAAAACGGGTTTATTTTTATTTTATTCGATAAATAAATTTGTTTATGGGAAAATGGGTACTCTATTCTTATAATGGAAGAAAGCCATAAAGAACTGGTATTTTATGGAAAAGTGATACTTTAATAATACTTTATGGGCCATTTTTTTTAAATATTTAATTTATCTTAAATAGATAACCTACCGATTTTCTTTTTGTAAGTATATTATTATGACACTTTTTCAAATTTACTTACAAATATTGATATATTTATCTTAAATTAAATGTTTAAAAGCAAAATATTAATAAAAAGTCGGTACTTTAAATATTTTATAAGAATTGTTATATCAGGGGTAAATTTGGGATTTAATTACATTTAATTCCGAAACATTCATCAAACCAAGTATCAAAATTGGAATGATGCTAATTTCAATGTGTGAACCATATTAAATATTGGAATGAAAAGTTTAATTCCAAAACCAGAATCTATTATTCCATTTTCATTTCCGATTCGAATATGTGAAACAAGCACTCCTAAATAAATGTCTCAAATGTCGCAAAGTAAACTATTTCCCCAATGTTAACTTAAAGCTTCTTGAAGCACGGAAAGTTCCATGATTTTGTTAGTTTCTCTAGCATTAAATATATCACATGAGAGTGAGACCAGATCAGAATTTTTTCTCATTATCACGTCGCACTTCTACGGTAATCCAGAATTACAAAATTTTGCACCTGAATTTCACTTTTTTTTAGGTCGGTCAAAATTCCCTCCAAAGTTTTGGCTCCTTTTCATCAAATGCCATCCGGGCATCCTCTCAAAGGTTTCTGTTAAATCTACTTAAACCCCTAGACTCCTTAAACCCTTGATCCCTTCTTGCTTAGAAATGCACTTGACCAGTAATAAACCCTTAAATTTCCTTCCAGAATTGCAATTTCATGAAATGCCTGCCGGAAGCTACAAGTGCGTGACAGATTCTATAACCAATTATTGTGGAGCTGATTTTCAGTCTTGTAAGAAACCTGGATTTTCCAATTCAATGATGAATTCAAGTTCAAGAATGTCAACTTCTTCAACTTCTAGGTCAAACCTAGCCAGGCCCATCAATGCCAAGTCAGAGTCATGCTTGCAGTATAAAAGGGGCCATTGCGATTATGGGGCCGACTGCATTTTTAGCCATGACATGCCTGAGGACCAGTATAGATTGATGAATAGAGCAAGATTGTGTAGGTTTTTTATGAATGGGAAAAATTGCCCTTATGGTAACAGGTGCCATTTTCTTCATCAGAACGTTAAACATGTCAAGGGAGGGTCAGGTGTGGCTAGGGAGAAGGCTGCTGTTACGGTCGTGAAGTCTGGGCCTGAAGAAGGTGTACGAAAAGAGAGCGATCGATTGGCTTGCAAGAGAAAGGCTGTCTTGTGGAAGACAAGGCCTTGTAACAATTGGGATAGAAATGGTAGCTGCCCCTATGGTGTGAGGTGCCAATATGCTCATGGAGAACGAGGTGATAATGAAATCATTAGATTAACCTACAGTGATAATTTTGCACGAAATGACATGATTTTGGTATATTTGCTGACCATAAGCAGCTGTCTTTTATGCGCGGTCTCTTTTTTTTTTTTTTTTTTGGAGATTGGAGGACAAGTTATTTGCTAGTTATTAACTGTAAGCAACTAGCAACTTCTACATGACCTGCTATTCCTGAACTAAAGCCTCTTCAATAACTGAATAAAGTAACTAAAGGTACAAATAAGGGGGCGCAGAACAGTAATCAGTAATGCTATGCTTTTAAAGCAAATTACTGCTTTATGATTAAAGCTATGCTTCAGCACTGGAAATTGCATTTAGTCCCTCGAGACCTTCAATGGTCGTACCTCTAGATTCCCCTGTTTGCAAGTATTTTCTTTTGCACTATGATGAACTCTAGTGGCAAAGCCAACCAGGATCAAGAGAATACAAGCGGATTATATAAATCTCTGCGTGTGGGAAGACTGGACATCCATGTAAGAGTACAGGAAGCTAGACATATTTTATTTTGTTGGTAAATTGCAAAACTTTTCAGATATTTGTGGCCACACCTCTTAACTTTGAGGATTGTCGCGTTTAATCAGTTTATACAACATAAATGGTCGTATTGATTCTTGAATTGCGTGGCAGTTGTCTTGTTGACCAAGAAGTATTTGCCACAACTTAACAGTAGTTAATGCTTCTTTTCTTTTCGGTTTTTATGTGCGTAGTCCATGTGTTATCTAATTTCGTTGAATGTGAGAAAAGAAATTCCTGTTTTATACAATGGTATTCCATCTGCTGTAACTGTTTGTAGAATCTAATGGCACAAACCTGTCATTTTAATATGGAAACTTAAAATGGTTTAAATCTAGGAAAGTTCAGCTTCAAGCTCTGTTTCTAAGTTGAATATAGCACTATTGCTCTTCTTGTTCCTGACAAAGTAGCACTACTGTTGATCTTCTTGTTCCTCACAAATTTTTAGAACAGACAACGGAAGCTTTCTTTTTCAATGTTCAACTGCTCCACGGTACCTCACATACATTTCCGTACACAGTTTCAATTACAATGAAAATATAAAGATGAAAGAGGATAAATTGCTGCCCAAGAGGATGCTGAACTGGTGCCCCATTTTTTTTTCGGTTGTTTTTTGGGGGTTGGGGGTGGTGGGGAGTGGACACTTTTCTTGGTATGAGCAAGCTTTCTAAAAGAAGAAACACTGATGATTCTTGTCGGTTATTTGGTTATGCAGAACTCGGCAAGCCAAGTTCCTTTTGTCCACTGGAATCTGGAAAATCTTTCATAGTAGAAAATCTTGCTTTTGATAGGGAGGATGCAGCATCAACTGGGAAGGCAATCAGAACTGACTGTACGCAGCAGGAGAAGAGCAAGAGCAAGAGCTTTTTTGTCAAGCGGGACAAAGTCAAGAAGATTAGCGGCATCTATGCTGATTGGATTGAAAGTATGCCCCCTGTCCACCTTACTTCAGCCAGCCTGTGATGCTGAATTTCGAAACCACAGATGATATACCAAATTCTCTCTAACTTCTTGTGCAGAATGATGGAAATTGTAGTTACATTACCTCAGAATTTGCAGATAGTTTTTGTGAGAGCTCTGCAGTTAGTTGACTTCAAAGCAGTTATACTGGCAACAAAAAATAGGTCTTTTAGTTGTTTGGAAAGTGCTGCCTTTTCCATTGAATCTTTATTCTGCAGCAACATTTTGGATTTATGGGATGTGCATTTTAACCTTATTCTCTTCTTCGTATGGCATGTAGTCTTCTGAGGGAGCTTGCAGGAATTATTTGCTTACCTCGTGCTGTCGTGCAGGAGTTTTTTCAAATGTGGATGACTGGATCCTGCCTGCTAGAACATGCAGATCCCTGACAGCAAGGAGCTAAGTGCTGCTATAACGGATAATCAAGGGCGATTAAGCGTTGGGGAACATCACCAAAATGATATTTTTAAATTTCAAAGTACCTTCCCTTGGTACTTCGTTTTTCAAATAAAGCAAGTTGCTAATCTTGAGACTAGTTGAACCACCCCAATGAATTCAGGACCGGTACATAGTTGTAGTGGCTTATCAACAAGTCCTTAATTAGTAGACCTTTTGGTCAAAATACTTATTTAAATGCTTAATCATATTGTTTGGATACATACTTATTTAAGTACTTTTTGCTTTAATAACGTGGAATTTTGAATTTTTAAAACATATTTTTATTTTTATTTAGTTCAAATTTTATAATAATTTTATTAATATTAATTTTTAAAATTTTTTGTAACATAAAAGTTGCGCTAAAAGCACCAATTTTGAGCTTATACCAGAAGTGCTTTACTGGCCAAAAGCTCTAATCCTAAATTCGAGAAATGATGCTCACTAAACATGTTAAAAATGCTTTTGTCCTCTAAAATATTTTTTTCTTTTAGCAAAAACACCATGATCCTAAACACGTCCCGGAGGATTTGATTTACCCTCATGCGATGATTTGAAGTATATACTATAACTCCGTAGTTCTCTCTATCAAAGGCTTGGATTTTGTTTGTTAATTCAATTCAACACTTAAATTTAACAGGTTCAAATATTAACATATTAAGATGCATTTGATAATCAAAATTAGAACATTTGAATTAATTAACTGACACTAATTTTTTCAAGCAAAACTTGCTCTAAAAAATAAATAATAAGTAATGTGATATACAATCAAATATATCAAATTTAGTATTTAACCATTCAGTAATTTAATGAATTCATAATTCAATTTTCAACTTTCAAACTTCAGTTTTTACAAACGTATCCTTAGGTTTATTTGGAATGTGAGTTTTCAAGGGAAAAAAATTTTGGAATATTTTCTAGACATAATTTGTAATTTACTTTTGTTTGTAGTTTATTTATTATTATTATTTTTTATCTTACTTGCACTGCAAATAGCGGGAAAGTTTGAAAAGCTAAAAGCTACCGTTCTCTTAAATATATTTTCTACAAAACTCCTATCCAAATAGGCTCGTAAGAGTAATGATATATTAGCCCTTGTAGATTCACAAATTACCATTTGACCTCTTTAACTCTTCAAAATATACACATAACTCTTTTATAGTTTTATATAGGGTAAAAGCTTGATGGAAAATAGCATCCTTTAAGTTGTTAGCTAAAATGCCAATTTTGCCCTCATTTAACTATTAAAGCAAACAATTGTTGACCACCTTGTATAAAACTATAAGGAAATCATATAAATAAATACAAAAAATTATAGGAAATAAAGTGGATATTCATGCCCCCCATTCTCTTCCTAAAACTTAAATTCCATCCTTCTTCAACTAAGAAAAATTAAAACAAAGGATAAAATGGATATTCATGCGAACCACAAGGGGTTTAGTAAATTATATGACTCCATGACGTGCAATTTTTGGAGCACTTTAGTTCAATTGTGGCAATAGTTGATGCTCTCGGTCTACTTTCACTTTATATAAAATTATAGGGCAATTATGTAAATATGTTAAAACCTTAGAACAATCATGTAGTAACGTGACAAACCACAGGGGTTATTTACCCAAAAAAATTTCTCACATTACTAGAATGGAAATGATAATCTGTCCTCACCCGCCTTTGAATTGGATGATAATCGCGAAATGCACAATTCTGCACCTGAGTAGTTTCAAGCTTCCCCATATTCCCCTCCAAGAGTTCATCAAATCCCGCCCAGGAATCCTCTGAAATCTCAGTTAAATTTCTTCCTCTCGTCCAAAACGCTAGCTTGGTAACCTTCTTTTGTCTTAAAACCACAAAACCCTCAAACTCTTCATGCATGAACACTAACACCACTACTAACAACCCCTTAAATTTCCCTTTCCATTTGGAATATGGGGCGAATCAATTCCATTACAACTGACCTCCTCCACAAGTGTTTGACGATTACTACTGGCCTCCGCCACAAGTGTTTGATGATTATTGTACTACCAGGCATTTTGGAGCTGATTTTCAGTTTTTCAGGAAACCCGGAATTTCTGAACCAATGCTTAATTCAAGTTCAAGAATGTGTCATATTGTCTTCAACTTCCGGGTCAAACGAAGCAGGGCCCATCAATGCCAGGCCACAGCCCTGCCGGCTATATACAAGTGGCTACTGCAACTCCGGAGCCAACTGTGTATTTAGTCATGATGAGGCTGGTGAAGAGAATTACAGAACTCCGATATGGGTGTACTTGTGGGTGGCCACCAGATTAGGACCAACTGTTGGTTCTCAGTTTATGGAAAAGAATGTCCACATGGCAATAGATGCAACTTTTATCATCTTAGTGTTAGAGATGATAAGGGAGGTTTTCGCGTGCCTAAATTTAGGCAGACTACTGCAATTACTGTTTTGAGTACAAAAACTGAGGGTTACAGAAAACAGTTTGGTCAATTGGAACGCAAGAGGTTTATGGATTTGAAACTCTGATGGTGCTAGTCAAAAGAAACAAAAGGCAGAGCCTTTGAAGACAAGGCTCCGTGACAAGTGGGAATAAGATGGCAGCTGCCCGGATGGTGAAAAATGCTAATATGCTCATGGGTTTACGGGTATTTTGTAGTTAGATTCGTTTGGTTTACTTGATGTTGCTTCTGGTCGTAATTAGTGAATTAGTTCCTTATTCATTTGACATTTACGCAGTTACACTACCAATGGTTGGGTAAACAATGTTGGCGGCTGGTACGAAGTTTCATGGTTGGACCATATTGTTTTCCGTGAATCTTAGTTATACTGAGTATGTACACTGGTTATGGACATATCTCTTTCTGCATTTGTGATTAGAGCCAGAGAGGTTTTCTTCGTTGTTAATTAAGTTTCTTGCTATCTGTTTTTTCATTGTTATCAAGAGGCGACTTTCATGTGATCTATTACTGCTGTATTTGGGATATTTGAAACAAAAAAGTAGAAAGATGCAAAAACAGACAACATGAAACAAGAATGACTAGTGTTTTGCACTTTAATGCAAGTTAGTGTTTTGCACTTTCATGTGATCAACTTATCCCCTGTTTGTCAGCATTGTGATTTGACAATATTTGAATTAATTTCTTAAAGCTAGTTCCAACCTGGCAGTGTAAGCACTTATAGAATGGCCTGTCAATTTTATGAACTCAACATTTTCCAATAGTAGATGTAGCTCAGGAAAAGAGTACTTAATATTTACTGCAATCGCAAAGTGCTCTGATTATGTTAGGCTACAAGTCTACTGCTGTTGATTTTCAATCAAACGAATGGTGGACCTTGTCTTTAATGTTGAATTCTTATGGGCCATGAAGTAGTTGTCACAACTAAATGAAGATTCTTTATGAAAACATTCACTGGATATTCATGCTTGTTGTCTGGCTGTTTGATGTCCATAGCTCATCTTCCTGTGTATTTGAATTCCAAAAACGTTTGGTGAAAAGGAAATGCATTATATACATGGTGTTTATTGATGAAAATTTCAGCACATGTCAAGCCCACACTTTGACTCTGATGCCACGGGATCTGCCTGCACTAGGCTATCAGAGCAAAATAAAGATAAATCTAGGAAAGTTTAACTCATACTCTACATGTGGAGATGAAAATAAAAATCCTGATCTTCTTGCTTCCGAAGAATATTTGCCATGAGGACCTAGATGGTAGAGAACCTCTGTTTTAGTGCAACTCAGTTTGGTTTCTCACCAAAAAGTTGCTTTTACACTTGTATTTATGTTGGCAAGACGATGGATCTGCTGTCAAGGAGGAATACCAAAAATGATGCCTTTCAGGGGAGGGTCCACGGAGGGGTTTTAGAGGAATACTAATGATTCTTGTGTATGTGATTATGCAGAACTTCAAAAGTTTGGTTTTTCCCCCCAGTGGAATCTGGAGAATCCTTACTGGCAGAAAATGTTGCTGGTGATGTAGAGGATGCAGGTATGAAGGAGATCAGATCCGTTGACAAGTAGCAGAAGCATAAGTGGCTTACGAAGTGGAACAACGTTGAGAAGATTAGTCATGTCTATGCTGATTGGATTGAAAGTATGCCACATGTTCCTCCAGGCAGCCTGTGATGCCGAATTTTGAAAACGTGAATGATGTACCAAAATTCTTTGTAATTATTGTTCAGACTGAAGGATAGTGTAATCTCTTTAGCAGAGATTTGTTATTAGGTCAATTTCAGACTGAAGGATAGCGTAATCTCTTTAGCAGAGATTTGTTATTAGGTGAATTTGACGCAGTTATTTTGCTAAACTTTTCAGGTGTAGCAAAGAAAAGCGTCTCGAAGATCACTTCTTTTCTCTCTTTTGTTTGGAAAAGTGCCGTGTATTCCCTTTGATTGTATTGTGCAGTACGTAGAGAAGAAAGAAATAGACAGCCAAGAGTAGCATGACTTTCAGCCTTTCAGGTCCCCATTTACAAAATTAGTTTCTTGCAGATTATTGTACTATTGTAAGAAGTGAAACATATGATTTTTGTCAATTTTCCCTTGACGGGGTATAATTGCAGTCTGAAAAAGGTTTACCAATCTGGAACTTAACTGCAACTATGATTTTCCCGTGATTTTCCTGGGTGTTTGGGGCGGGTGAAAAAATTGCATATTCAACAGGAACGTAACTGCAACTATGATTTACAGTTGTAGTGATTGTGTTTCATAGCAGGAACACCTGTTAATGATAGTACAAGCATAAGCTGAAAATCTCGGTTCCGAGGGGCCTCCTCCATTTAAAAGAATGGAACGTAAATTTTAAATTTAGAACCAAATGCATCTATCTGCGCATTTGGCTGTTTCGCTATGTAGCAATTTCAGCAGAACGAGCATGTCTGATAGCTGATCTGGCCAAGGCATCCACTGGGTCTACACATTTCTTGAGAAGAGGATCATCTGGAGGCAAAAGGCCTTGCATGTCATCAGAGGCAAGGACTATAGTGTTTACGGCTCTCACCAGAAGTACTTGCAAAGCAATTCTGAACAAATTTTGAGCTCCTTCAATGTCTTTTCTGATTAAAGCTTCCATTGCTGGGAGTACAGTGTGTTCCATGGTAGCTTTATCCGGCACCATGACCTCAAACCCCTGCATTAATAAGCTCAGGATTTGGAAATATACACGTTTTCATCAGCGTGAAAGGTAAGGGCCTAAAAGGCTAGCAGAGTTTTCAACCAGCAATAGACGCGCCTCGGTTAGAACCTCACTAGCTAGATGCGTCATTGCCCCAAGCGCAAAGATAAAGGCTAGCAGATTTTCACTTCCAATTCGAACAGATGAAATGGGCGGCACATTCCATAACTACAAGCCAAAGCATAACAAACAGAAAAAGCATAAAAGGATCAACTGCCTGCAGATGCTAGCTCTGCAGGATACTTTCATCTTGCACATATAAGTCTATCATTCACTGCTCCCTGCCTTAAGTTTTAACATAGTATTAGATAGAAGTTGTCAGAAGGCTTTTAGTCAAAAAGCCAGACTAGTCGTCTAACTAAGACTTGCTTGCTGTGTGTAGCACCATCATAAGAGAGACGTCATTAAGAAAAAAACCTATTGAAGTAAATTATGTAGTCAAGAAAGTAAATTAAGCCTGAAATCTATAGCAGGGAAAAGGCCACTTCGGAGAAGCTTATAACTAACAGCATTAGTCATGTGCAATCACGAAACATTAACATTAATCATGCAACATTTGCAAGGGTTACACAACTAAATTGTGGTTCTTTATTGTCATTTGGAACTCATGAAGCCAGATGTTCGAGAAGTGAAAGGCTTTTTATTGTCCGCTTCACTAATATTGAAGGCAAACATGTACACAAATGTATGTCAACTTTCAGAAGCATTTCATGCAAAATTTCTTTATGATCGATTATTATAATAACAGGTAGCATAAATCCATGCTTAAGGTAGAAATCTCAACACAGAGCATCATTTCAGTAGTCAGTACATATTTTTGTTCAACCTAAAATTCACCCCAAGGGGAAAAAGAAAAGAATAAAAAATGGAGAAAAGGGACAGAAAACAAGAAGAAAAGACACGCACTAGATGGAAATACCTCATTTTGAAGTTTCTTCTGATAAAATCCGGCAGCTAACGTCGCATCACTTGCAATAATTCCAATGCGTAGTGGACTTCCAGCTTCAAGAGGCTTCATTTTTGCTTCCTTTAGCTCCTTGGCAACACATTCGCCTATATGAAGAAAAGGTACAGAACATCCTTCTGCAACCTCGTCATACCATGAATGGGATACATGACAAGGCGTCACAATGCAACCAGCCCCAGAATTCTCCAGAAATATTCTCTTGGTCCTCAGATTTGAAACAGCTGGACCATGATCCTTAGCTCGATGTTCACCCTTACTAGTAAGGAAGGGCAAAGAACTCCTTTCGTGGAACAAAAGCTCCTTGCTTAGTACTGGATCAGAGCAAAGAACAAAAGGGATGCTGCTACTCTCGGCATCCTTCGAACTCCAGTCCACCAATTTCTTGGCAAACTTCACAGTGGATACAACTGAGGCACCACCAATAACTCCTACTGAGTTGCGAGAAAGCAATGAACCACCACCATCTATTAGAGCACTAGTTGAGCGAGAATTCTTGCTAAAGTCCAGTAAATCACCGCTTTCTTCAATTTTTGGGATAATAGAAGATGGAGATAAAGCAAGAACAGGATTTCTCCTGACCGTGTTCTGACTTCTCTGCCTGCTTATAAAACCCAAAGCATGAGATGGATGATTCAATGACTGAAAAGAGGCTGCCATGCTTATCAATATCAAAGCAGAAGAGAGTACCAGAAAGGAATTCTGTTTAACTTTGGCCTGTTATGCGCTAAACTCGGTGAATTCTTCTGCAAGAACCCAAAGCTAGGAGTATCTCAAATTTTATACGAATCCAATTTGGCTAAACTTCCTTGCGTCCTTGTAAAAAGACTGCTCCTTTTTGGCTTTGCATACAAAATCCCAAAAGCAGGCGCTCCAGAACTTTGATTTCCAGCCGCTAGAGCCCCATAATCTGGTCAATTTGAAGTTTCATTAAGCCCTTAAATAAAAAATCCCACCCGGATTCTTGTACTGTTGAAAGGGATACCTACAAAACGGGTCGAGGCTCAGCCTAATTAAAACCCAGCAACGATTCTCTCAATTTCCATATCTTTCTGCTTCCTGAAAGCCAGCTTTTGATTGTATCTAAAATCTTTAGACCCCCAAATAGGAACCTTCAATCAGATGACAGCTCAAACAGCCACCAAATCTTTTCTTTCGGAATTTCAGAGGCAAAACTCCCAAAAGAAAGCATAAATCTCTGTGTGTTTATTCAACAGCAAAGCAGAAAAGGAAAATATTAAACATTTAAACTTGAAAATGCCGAGTGGGCTGGCAAGTACGAGAGACGTTACTTCTGTATACACTATAAACAAACCAATTACAGATCATTCGTGGCAAAACTCAACTTTGGAATGTTTGTGTAATGGTCTATCTGTCATGTTTTTTGGTCTAGAAAAGCGAATTACTTAAACGATAACTACAGGACAAGATTCATTGTTAGTTTTAGAGATCTTACATCATCGAGCATGCTTGGATGTTGGGCGATAGTGCAAGTGGGGACTGGCCTAATTGGACGAGGTATGGTAAGGGTGATGGGTCTTGAATCTGCATGATTAATGAACGTTACAGGTCCCAACCAACTTGCTGCTGTCAATGGTTGTCTCTGGATAGAGTAATTATTTACTGCATAAATAATTCCTACAGCTCATCATGGCTTATTATCGAGATAAGGTTCTGTTGGTTGAAAGATTAAACAGTTTATGGCCCGATTTAGTCAATATTTATTTATGCAGCTTGCATATTCTTTCTTGGAACAACAAGATTATGCCTTAATATACTAAAAACAGCTTGTCAAATAAGCTCCAAAGTGGAACAAAAAGACTTCACAGAAGTCTGAATGTCAATCAAACCACCTGGCAGCATTTAAGACTGATACTCCAGTCTCGGTGATATCACAGCATTGTACAAAAGCTTATATGTTCCAAAATTGTAAATAGCTAGTGAGCACATGATGAAATGAATCAGGAAATGGAACCAATTTTCGTTTACAAGCCTTGCGGCACTAGTTGATGCTCTGTCAGAATAAGCTACAGCTAGATGGGAAGTGAAATACACACCGGCTAACTTGAGATGACCATTTGTGCCAAAGTAGACGGAGTACTGTCTTGATTTGGGCTAATTCGCATGGTCAGAAAGTTATAATAGAGGCAGCAAAATGGCAATGCCTTGACAAGTCCATTTCCCCTCTTCTGCATCATCTTTGTGAAAAAAATCCAGAAATGTAAAACAACAAGTTATCAACTCATTTACGCTTTGCTTTTGAATGCCTCAGCTGATGAATAATATGTTTAACTTTGCTACTGCGGATTAGCTTTCTGACATCCCCTCTAATAGAAAAGAAAGCAGAAAGCACAGCAATGTACATTGAACGGTACATGCAAACTTCTTTAGAAGGATCGTTAGGCGCATGCTTTCCAAAATTGACTTCCCTGGCAATTCCCAAAATGATGAGCATTACCCCAAAGAGGCTCATCCTTCCAGATCTTATTAGACCTAGAAATGCTCCGGCTAAAGAGAAGTAGCTTCCTGCAAGAACCTGTATGGAGCAGAAAGTAACCGCGTCATTAGCTTAAGAAAACAGGTTTCAGAGGAAAAACCAGTGCATTCTTCTCTATTGTTGCTGTATCGCACGCGAATGGGATGACACAAACCTCCATATGCTTGAGATCGATTGTTGACGGCCCTTTACCCATGTTGATGAATTTCCCAGTACTCAGCAAGTCGTTGTAGGTCGGTATGCTTGTTTTCTTGGCAATGGCTTTTGCAATGGCTCCAGGAGACAGAATGATCTTTACTACCACTGTGGGAAGAACCTCACTCGCAATCAGCTGAGAGGAGGTCACCTCCACAGGTGTTTCGCACATGCCAATTCTACACGGGAATCTGAGGTCAAAAGTACAATAATGTTTCAGAAATCAAGCAATCTTCAGTTGCAGCCCCTACTGGAAATTTGAAAAATGCAGGCGACAGAATTCAGCACTACATTTGACATTGGTATAAAAAACAATAGAGGCGGATAAGTACTGCAGTAGTTAGTTTCTTTGTCTTTTAATTTTCTTTTTAGTGCAGCACTTCTTTGAGCGCTGATTGGTTTTTCACTATATCATTACCTTTCCATCTTCTTTTTTTTTCATTCAACCAACGTCAAGCTCTTCACAAGAAGCATCAAGTCAGGGTACTAGGGACAATAAATGGGAAAATCATCAAGAAGTTGCCCCAGAGCTGTGATCTAGCTCGACAACATCCCGTCTTTAGATCTAAATCTTACAATTTGAATTGAATTCTATCCAATTCAAATTGATTGATGTATATGTTATGATTTTTGTAGGATAAACTTGTACAAAATATGTGTTAAACTTGAATTTGCAACTCATCATTTATACCGGACAGAATTCAACTTACGAGACTCCAAATCCTCCCTCCCTTAGCTCGGAAGGTTCAGGACTTGCACAAGAAGATGCATATAATTGATCCAATATCCATCCTTAGGCAGTCACAGGCTGGAATCTCAATCAACAGAAAGAGCACTGGTCCAGAGGCGCAAGGATGGCCGCCTAATAGTACAAGATTATATGGCATATCTTATATAGTTGTCAAAATTCCCAATGACATGATTGCTTTGGGAGCTAATCTTTCAAAATAAGGGGACCCATTACATAACATTGAATGATGTGTTACACCTTCGGGGAAACTAATAAAACAATAATAAAAGAAGGACCCAACAAATTTTATTTTATTTTTTTAAAAGGAAAAGATTGAATCAAATAATTGGGCGTAAGCAGGAGATGGTGACATATTAAAGATGCACGCAGTAAATAACCTGAAAAGAGGAACTTGGAAAATAATGAGGAGGAAATAAATTTGAGAAGCGACGCGAGAAATGATCCTGGCCCATTTCTTTGATAACGACGCCATAGCCAATTGCCCGATGAGATGATAAGTCTGGCAGTTGTACTTTTCTTCCCGCAAATAGCAAATTCACAACCCCACGACAGTAAGGCCATGTTTCGTTCCCATTTAATAAGAATATTCTGTCGTGAATAGCGACTTGTACGTGGGCGACGTGGCCTCCTGTTTTTCTTTCTTTTCTTTTTTTTTTAAAAAAAAAATTTCGCGAATTTGTGGGTTTTAACTTTCATATAATTCTCATCACCACCTGCATTCATTCATTCATGTCCGCCTAAGCTCTCAACTTTCAACACTTACACTATATCCTTTTTTGCGATTAAGGAACTCAAATATTTTTTGCGGTTTTCAACAGATAAACCTCTATCATGTGATTTTTTCAACAGAGTTCTGATCGAATATCCAATGACCAATGGATGCTTGTAGTGTAGGAAACCATCTGCGTAGCTTGCGGCTGTTAACAACCTTCTTTAAGCAAAAATTCCTTCCTTTCTTTTTTTTTTAGGGGGGCATATATGCACCATGAACTTTCCTCAAATATCATCTTCAACTGAAGTGTGTGATTGATAGTTTAACTATTGTAGCTGCAGTTCTTTTTGATCTCAAACGGCAACTCGGTTCATTGAATCTTGGGTTAATGATGAAATTCCTTCCATGAATGGGACCCGATGGCTTCCACTATTGCAGAGTACAAAAATAGAAGAGCAGAAGAAGCTCTGTAGCATCTTTGACAATTGATAGATGCAGAGTATATAGAGTGAGTAAATGAAATGAAGAAGGCATTTCATCATCATATTGATCGGTCCAAAGAAAAGAACAAATCCTGCTGCGGCCAACTCAGAATTTAAAATTCAAAATCACAAAAGGCACAAAGGTAGATTTATAGTTATAGTAGTAAGTAGTATTGTTGAATTGAGCGCGCTCCCATCCCATGTGACTGCGAGTCAGATTTTCAGTTCATGTGGTCACACATCCCTGTGCAAAAATCCCGCCCTCACATTCACAATGATAAAGGGAAGGCACTAAAATAATTGTCCCAGCCCACCAATAATTGAAGTTTGTGCCACATAACATATTATCGCTTGCCTGTTCATTCTTCCAAAGGTTGCTCTCTTTAATTTCGATACACAATATGTGGAGCAACCTTCCCTTTGATCTCCTAGCTAACATCTTCTCCTTCCTTTCCCCTGACTCCTTGGCCTGCGCCAAATCCTCCTGCCGCCATTGGCATCAATGTGCTAGGTACTTGGCCACGCCGGAGTCGCAGCGGCGGCATCCACCATGGTTCATAGCCTTGCCTAATCGCAGCCGCGGTCTCTTTTGCTGTGCTTATAATCCAATTGACGACAGCAACAGCAGCAGCAGTTGGTACATGCTACCGCTTGACTTTCTCCCCATCCCGACCCGACCCGTTTCTGCAACAGCTGGCCTAGTTCTTCTAAGATCAACTAGCACTACGCCTTTTCAATTAGCCATATGCAACCCTTTTACCAGGCAATTTCGGCACCTGCCGACGCTAAATGTCACCAGGATTAATGCAGCAGTTGGGGTCATCGAATTGGATCCAGGCCATCAATTCGGCGAGCTCAACTTCAGGGCCTATGTTGCCGGTGGCATGTCTGAAGCGCCGGGCGGCGGCGCGTTATACGAGCCAAAGGTGGAAATGTACGATTCGCGGTGTGACACGTGGAAGGTTATCGGATCAATGCCAGTGGAATTTGCAGTGAGACTAACAGTTTGGACACCCAGTGAAAGCGTGTACTCCAATGGGATCCTGTACTGGATGACATCAGCCAGAGCCTATAGTGTGATGGGATTCGAGATTGCCACAAATAGCTGGAGAGAATTGAGTGTGCCGGTTGCTGATAGGCTGGAATTCGCAGCATTGGTGCAGAGAAATGGGAAGCTGACGCTCCTTGGTGGCAAGTGTGGTGGTGATGCGTGTATATGGGAGCTGGGAGAAGGGGATGTATGGCGTATGATTGAGAAGGTGCCATTTGAATTAGGGATGAGATTTTTGGGAGGAAAAGGCTGTTGGGATAGCACCAAATGTGTTGGCAATAATGGGATAGTTTGCCTGTACAAGGATCTTGGATCAGGCATGTTAGTTTGGAGGGAAGTTGTAGATGAGGGCAGGTGGGAATGGTTTTGGATTGATGGATGTTGTTCGATAAGAGGCCAGCAACTGCAGAATTTTCAGATTAAAGGACTCCTGCTACATCCAAATCTTGCTCATTCCTCCCTCCTCAATGCATAAGCTTGATTTGTTATTCCGTCGCTTCTTTGTTGGTGTTTCTTATTCTTCCTCTTCCGATAATATCAGTTGTAATTTTCAGCTACATATCAGTTAATCATGTACGATTGAATTCAAAATTCAGGTGCGAATTGCCAAGTTCTTTTTCAGTTGGAAACGTATTGGCGGCTTGGCTCCCGCAACCGCCTCCAGAAGGAGTCACTCAAAGTAGAATCTTTTGCACCGAAGGCCTCAAGAAAGTAGAAGATACTGCAATCGGTAGTAGTGATTAGTGAAGGCATGGAATTTGGTTCGCTAATGCCATATGTCAAGACAGAAACATCCATACTCGATCATAGACTATAGGGAGTTAGTTGTTCACTGTAAACTGTCATTCTCTTCATCAAGCAATAAATTGAATTCGCCTGCGGGCCTTGATTGGCTCAGCAGTGGTTCTGCACGTTTCTGGACCGGGGTCCTTTGTTTCGAATCTTGTAGTCCGAACACTGAAATCAATTCAATATTTTGTTTTGATAGATCTGAAATCAATTAACATAAGATATTGCAAAATGGTATGATGATGATAATTTTCCTAACTTAAGTGCCACAGTGGTTAGCCGACCGGCATTATACACGAGCGTGGTCCGAAGCCACGAGTCGGTTGGTTGTGAAATTGCTATTTGTCCTCCTAAGTTTGTCCATCGAAACAAAATGAGGGGCAATATCTGTCCTTTTCTTTCTATAACTACTAAAAGATAAATCTTTTAAGGCTTCGACGTACGCTTTTTCTAATGGATTCCGGATGATGTCTTCGGAGGTAAAAGTTAAAACTACTGCGGTAACTCAAGACCAAAAAAAATGGGTCGTGGTTAAACTGGTTAGAACGGATCCTATTGCAAAGTCGCCGAAGACCAAACCCGAAACCGGATTCTTTCACCTCCAATCATGAAAGATCCGACCTGTATGTATGACTCCGTTTTACTACTAGTCTTACTTGACCTGCTTCATCCTATGAATTACAAACAATACTTAAAACAGAGTACCTGTCAAAATGGACTCTTTATCTAACTACAATAAATGAATAAAATGATACATGTAGTGGCTGACTCATTGCTGTTGAAAACTTGGGCAAAGTGACTAGTGGATTTCTTGATGCCAGTTTCGTTTTTCATCATTTGCTCAAGGATGCTAGTCAAAAGAGTTATTTTCCTGAGATATCTGGAGGGGATATCTTACAAGCCGTTTTCGTTTTGCAAGATCTTTTGAGGTAATATTAATTGAATACCCCATGACTGCTTTCCTTGTATGCATTTTGTGATTGGTAGTTTCTGAATTTTTATTAAAATGGGCTCTCTTGCAATTCAGAATGGTAGAGGTCTTGCAAATGCTGCGTGTTGGGATTTTTCTATTATATATGATATCAAAGAAAGATCAATTTTTTATGAGAAACAATTTTCGGAGCTGGGTTTTGAGTATTTAGGAAAATTTTTTATCTGAGTTACGCTATATGAGTTTGTATCAGTTGAAAGGCTCCCGGAGCCTATGAGCATCAGAATCAGTCGATCAGATGTTGCCAGTGCAGCCCTTGGTTTGGTATATTAGCTGCAAAATTGATGTTTCTGATTCTTAATATGACTTTCTTGGGTGGACTTACAAGACCTAATTGCTGGCATATATAGCGGGAATATTATATACTTAATATTTTGAGTGCTGAGGATCCATTTGCTCGGGGGTTTTTCCTATACTCAGAGAATCAGGTTGTGATTGCGGTAGTTTTAGTGGTTTTCAGTGGAAGAAATTTCTTTGGAACATGATAAAGCTGTTACGTTTCTCCAGTCATAACTGCCACTTTACCATCTTCAAAGGATTTTTCCCATAGGTCTGATTGTAATTTACTGGTGTGTACATTTGAGTTGTCAGGTGAGCTCTTGTAGAAACCAAATAGAATGTCTTGCACAAATAATGCGTTGAAGGAGTTCTGAATATAGTGGTGGTGCAGGTAGATTTAAGTTGAAATGGATGCCCTGCAAGTTGTTTCCTCCGCAATGCAGATTGTTTCAAGTATGGTTGCTGCTATTGGATCACTAGAGCAAGCATCTAGAAATCTTGATGATGCTCCAAAGAGAATTCGAATCCTTGAGGAATTTGTCTGAACTCGAAAATTTGGTCCTCAAAACCAGGCAAAAACACGTGTATAAGCTCCATGATTCCCGTTTGGAGCGCCAAATACAGAGCTTGAATAATCTTATTGATCAGCTGCATCCAAACATCACAAAGGCAAAAAGGATAGTGTCAAAAAGCAAATTTAAGAACTTTGCTAAAGTTGTATGGAACTCAATGGCTGGTGATCCTCTTGCAAAGATTTTGCTTTCGATACAGTATGACTTGAAATGGTGGCTTGAATCTCAGAATTTGTCAAGGGATGTCGAGAATGTTATAGAAAGGACAGCTAGAAACATCCCAAGTCGATTGAAGGTAAACTCAGATCAAGGCTACCTGATATTGGGTAAGTGCTCTTTTGTGCAAAACATGCTGGAGAAAGATGATTCTCACCATGTTATCTTAATTGTTGGACTGTCTGGCATTGGGAAGACATGTTTAGCTCGTCAAGTGGCTTCTGATCTTCCATCAAAATTTGTAGATGGTGCCATTGAACTTCGATTTGGGCAATGGTGCAGCAGGGCTGCTTGCAACGGGAACAAGGCTGAATATCAGAGGCGATTGACAAGGAAACTGACAAAATTCCTGGTGCAGATTGGGTCTCAGAAAAAGATGCAGGATGAACACTGCAGAGATCTTGAAGACATTGGTTACTTGCTTCAAGAAGCACTATATGGGAAGAGCATTTTGGTACTCCTTGATGATGTCTGGGAATAAGATATTGTTGAACGTTTTGCAAAGTTGTATGATAACAACTGTAAATACTTAGTAACAACTAGGAACGAGTCTATCTATGAGATAACAGAAGCTGAGAAAGTAGAGTTGAGTAAGGATGACATAATGGAAATAAGCAAGGCAGTTCTTCTACACCATACCTTTCTTACGGAGGATCAGCTACCAGTATGTCCTTCTACCATGTCTTGCACTGTTTTATGATTGCTATAACATGAGCTGTGTATATCATTTCACTGCTTTTGTGATTGCTGTGCATTTATCGTCATCCCCAGAACATTTGTGCTGTAAATGCTGTTAATCAGCAATGGCATTGCTGGTTTCATGCTTAAACTATTTTAATTCCAAATCCATTACTGACTCAAGCATATCTGATATCTCTGTACCACAACTTCTAAGAACGAATGTTTAATTTTTTTGTTTTTCAAAGAATGCTAGGACTCTCAAAATAATCAATTAGCTTGTCGCTGTTTTTTCTTTTCCTGCAATAATCTTGGTCGATTTCACCTTAATTGTTAAAAACTCAAAACGTACAATCCTTGGTCTAGTGGCTAAGGTTGAGGTCCCAGCACTTTGATGTCTTGGGTTTAAAACCCCCCCTCCCCCTCTTTGCCTTCTTGCTTCTTAAATCTCACCCTCCCCTGCTAGAAATTTTTTTTTAATATATGTGCTTTTTTCTGTTCTTTTATAATTTGGTGTTATGGAACTTTGTTTCATCAATAATCTGTTTATTTTCCTAAGTTTTGAGATTTTCTTGTTTCACAGGAGGTTGCTGAAATGTTGCTGGAACGTTGTGGTCACCATCCTTTAACAGTTGCTGTCATGGGCAAGGCTCTTCGCAAAGAAGTAAGAGCTGAGAAATGGGAAAAGGCCATATCCGACCTATCAACATATGCCACATCTGCACCAGGTCCAATTTCATATGTAAATGAGAAAGAAGCTGAGACCACCGTTACCATATTTGGATCACTTGAGTTCAGCCTTGAAGTGATGCCAGAAGACTCAAGAAAGCTGTTTATTGCTTTCGCTTCTCTTTCATGGGCAGAACCTCTTCCTGAAGCTTGCCTAGAGGCCATATGGTCGGTTATTGGGCAGGAAAATTTGTTTCCTCTTACAGTTTGCAAGCTTGTTGAAGGTTCTCTACTGATGAAAACTGATGCCACTTCTATATACCAAGTACATGACATGGTTTCCCTATACCTTAACAGCAAGGAAAATGATTCAGTTATTATGCTTCTGACAGAATCTACTGCTGAGAAATCAGCATTTATCAGTCCCTGGCTTTTTATTTTTGGGAAGAATGCAGTTAAAATAGTTTCTGAGAAAAAGATTGAATCTGCACTTGGCTCTTCTGAAGAAAAGCAGGCAATTATTGTCTTGGAATCAATTATTCAAGCATTCATGTCTAGCGAATTAATCTCAGAAATTGAGGCCACCAGAGCAAGCTTGAGTAGGATTTTAGGACCCAAGATTGGAGATCTGATGTCTGCTGAATCACAGAGTCTGGTTGCTCTTTCTGCAAAAGCAATCATCAGCATTTTCACGAAAGCTGATTTCTCCAACTACTTGCCATCCCTTGAAACCACTGGTGCAGTTGATAACCTTGCAGATATATTGCAAGTCTGTGATGACCCTATGGTCCAAACTAACATTTCAACTGTCCTAGCAAAGCTTGCTGAGTTTGGAACCCCTGGCACAGTAGATAAGGTCCTTCAGAGAATTCCGTTGAGTCAGCTGGCAGATTTGCTCTCTCCTAGTGCTGAGGAATGGCATGACAGTGTATTTACAACATTGATTTCATTAATGAAAGCTGGAAAATCGAAAGCTGTTGAGAAAATGTTTGCTTCTGAGTTAGATAAGAGCTTGATTAGACTTCTTGAGAATGGGTCTGATGTTACTCAACACCATGCGCTTGTCATATTGAAGTCATTTTATGAGCTTGGAGGTCCTTCAACAAATGGATCACTTGGCCCTGGTATTCTAAAGTTGCTGCCTTGGCAAGCAAGACTTCGATTGGAAAAATATGTGTTGTCAGATCAAAACTCTCTCCCTTCACCAAAGCCACAGACTTTTGATGATATCATTCACAAAATGCTGGAAAATAGTGACAAGCGAATACTGGAAGCTATGCAAGATGTCATACCAATAGTAGAAAAAGCAGGAGAACCAATAATCGGAGACATGATCTTAAGAAGTCTCCTTGTAAAACGATTGTCAGAACTCTTGCAAGGACGCCAAGAACAATACCTTTTGAAGGCTGAATCTGCCTTTGTACTAATGAAGCTCGCTTGCTCTGGAGGGGAGCCCTGCATTAAGAAAATACTTGAATATGACATCATTCAAGAACTTGTTAAAATGATGCAATGTGACACTCCTGAGCTACAGGATTCAGCCTACACAACCCTACATCAAATGCTTTTTGCCCAAGGTGGAGTTCTTATTCTAGATCAGATGTTTCAGATTGGACAGATTGATAGGTTAGTTAATTTGATTGAGAGCAAGTCAGCGAAGACCAGAGAGGTAAGCTTGAACTGTGTTCTAGATGTAGTTGAGGTGGGAAATAAAATCTGCTTGGAACGGATGTTTTCTTTGCAAGTAATTGAAAAGCTGGCCAAAATTGAAAAGAGTCGTGGGGGTTCTGGCGCAACTGTGGTTGGGTTTCTGAAGGGTATTAGTAAGTGCAAGCATCTGACAACCGCAGAGCGTTGGGTGATGAAGCAGCAAGTAGTTAGGAAGGCAAGGGCAGCACTTAAAGGCCATAAATTTGAAACCCAAGTTATGGCAGCTATTGATGCTTGTCTTTCTGAGGGTTCTAAAGGTGCCAGTAGTACCAGTAGTAGAAGAAGACACAAAAGATAATTCAAGTCTGTGCCTATAGATCCAACGATGACATGATTATTTTCTACAAGAATATGAAAGATTGGTATTCTTAAATTGGTTTGTGATTATTTCAACCTTAGCATTTTCGATTCTAGTGTGCATAACCTACTGCAATCACGTAGCCACAGAAGGGGATAAAAAAAAAAAAAAAACTCTTCAAATTGTCAGCACAAGATGACTCTGTATTTTGATCATAGATAGAACACTCGACAAAATTCGTATCTTGCATTCGTTTATCCGCTTCCGAGGATGTTTGATTGGGTGAAGTTTGTGTAGATTAGCTCGGATTTGCAAATCAAAGTTCTTAATGGGCATCAAGGAGTGGACTTTGGATATGAAGGGGTAAAATTAAATACATAAATCTAAGGAGGCCTCATTTATTACAACCCAATGTTGTTAGACCCAAAAAAAAAAAAAAATTGCTGTTAGACGGCCAATGTCAATTTGGATTGAGAATACTTCTTTTGCGACTTTCTTTTTGTCTTAAAATTTCATCCGGGCAGGGCTCAATTCAGTGCTTAGATATAGAGGCATCGAAACGGGTGATTCGAATGGGTTTGAGCATGTTATTATTGGGCAATAGGTATAATTAGTCAATCCATTTATACTTACTTAATAAATATATATGAACATATCCAATTACCCATTTATGAATTATTTAAAATTTTACTTATTTTTTCATTTTTTTGCATGTTATTTGACAAGAAACAATGGTATTTTATCATTATTATGTTGGTAAGAAATTCAAATTTATTTGCTTAACACTCACTAAAAATTGAATATAAATATATAATTATTTTTAAATTGATATCAATGGATAAATTGAGTCAACTCACTATCCATAAATTAAATAAATTTAATTGAATATTCATTTAGTTTCATTTAAAATCAATGTCCCGATTATTAGTGTATGGACTCGGACAGATCAACCTAACTGGGGTTGTCAACTCCAGAAAAAGACACATCCTCCTCCTCCGGTCGCCTACTATGTCGACCGTGAAACCTCATCCTCGCCCTCTCTCAGTGCAGTTTGGCTGCTTGCTAAGCCATGTTGTCCTTGACACATGGCTTAGACTAACTCTATTCTAACAACTGGAGTTAACAAGCTGACACCCAGGGGAGATAAAGCATGGCATTTCCCATGCAAAAAAAAAAAAAAGAGAAATCTGAATCTTTTTAATGTAAGATCAGAATAGGATGGGGGCATAAAATACGTAAATAGGACCCGTCAAAGTGGAAATGTAGACAGAAACAACAATTTGTGATAGCATCATTACTATGCACAAGGTGTCCTATGACATTAATAAATACTAAGGGATAATATTAGAAACCTCTCTTGAGGCTTCTAATATCACTTAATACTTCTCAAGTTTTAAAAATAATCACTTACCTGTCCTAGTAATTGCAAAGAACTATATTAATTCTTGTTTGATACATAATTCATATTTCAAATAAATTGAGCTCAAAAACTAAAAAAAAGAAAGAAACAAAAGTCACTTTGTTCTCTTTCTCCGACAATCTCTCTTATTCATTTTTATGGATGATTGTGTGATTTTTTATTTTTAAATTATAGGGGATTGAAGTACGTTTATCTTTTGAACTTTTATGATTGTGATAGATTAAAATATGATTTGTTTGTTTATTTTGAGTTGATTTTTATTTAATTAGTACAACTTAAAGGTTTGGGCGATTAGTTGAGATGAAGTTGAGAAAAAATATAATATTTATATCGATTTTGAACTTATAGAGTTAAATTGGAGCTTGTATATTTATTTACAAATATCTTTTTTTATTTTTCAAATTTATATTTTTATGGTCAATAGATTTGTGATGTTGAGGTACTACTAGCGATTTTTTTGTGGTGATTTTTCTTGGAGTAAACAAAGTGGTTTAGGAATTTTTTTTTATTTAGCAAAATATGCAAAAGAGTAATTTAGGGTTTTTTAATTTTATTACATAAATAACAAAAGTAAAGGAAGTAAGCGATATTTTTAATACTTCAGAGGTGCTACATGATATTAAGAGGAATCTCAAGGGTGGTTTTTGATATTATCCCACAATACAAACAAATGATAAAAGATTAGTAAGCTTGTAATGGGCCTTTGGTCCTCCAATGTACCAGAAAAAGAAAGAAGAAAAATGCAAACAAATGATAAAATATCTCTAGGAGAGCACAACATGTTCTCATTTCAAAGATATCGTTGTGTAAGTTTCCAGGGATTGCTATGACATTGGCACGAACTTAGAAGTTAGAACCAATAACATTATTAATTACACAAAATAATCGCAACTTGCGCCAATAGCTATAAATCCAAAATACTGATCAACTTAACCAAGTTAACTTTGTCAGTAAAAAGTTCTATGATCAGAATTAGGGTTGTAAATGAATCCAACCGCTCGCAAGCAGCTCGAGTCGAGTCCAAACTTGACTCGAACTTGGTCAATATCGAGTTCGTGTCGAGCTGATCAAGTCGAACTCAAGTTCAAAGATATTCAACTTATTAGCTCGCAAGCCGGTTAGATTATACATATATATATATATATATATTAAAGTAAAATTACATATAAATCTATAATATTTAACTATTTGTTAAAAAATATTATTTTACTCATTTTTTAAAAATAAAATAATAATTTTTATTTTTTAACCTCAATTCGAGTCGAGCTCGAGTTTGACCATTACATTTTGAGCCCGTCGAGTTCGAGTTTCTTAAATTAAGTTGGAGTTCGAGTTGATTAGACTAAAATTCGATTCGTTTGCACGTCTAATTTGAAGGCATATTACAATAATAAACGGATAGCAAGAAGCAACTACAAGAATTATGTATGATCTCAACCCCTTTAGAACTAACTCCACTTTGCACCCTAAACTTATATCACTCTTCTACTTTGCATCTTAAACTTTAATTATGAACGCTTTACACTCTAAGGATGCGTTTGATAAAACTGAAATCTAAAAACTAAAGTCTGAAATCTGAAATTTAAAATCTGGATTCATTAAATTATTGAATTGTTAAGTATTAAATCTAATACATTTGAGTGCATATTATATTCAGTAATAAGTAAATAGCTTATTACTTAATTTTGAGAGCAAGTTTTGCCTAAAAAATTTAGTGCCACTTAATTAATTTAGATGTCCAATTTTTGGTTATCAAATTGTTTAAATATGTTAAGATATGATTCTATTAACTTTAAGTGTTGAATTGAGTTATCAAACAAAACCTAAATACTCAAGTTTGTCACATTTAAATCTAATTAATGATAATTTTAGCAAAATTAATAATGGTCAAAAACAGCTAAGTGCTTGCCGTTAGAACAAAACTTAATTATTGATTGCATTTAAATGGGACAAATTTGAGAGTAGAAAATAAAAAATGTCCAAAATTGAGAGTTTAAAGTGCAGAATGTCAAAAATTAAAGTTTAGAATGTAGAATAAGAAAGTGATATAAGTTTAGAAGTATAAAATGGAGTTAGTCGTCACATTACATGGCAAATGCTTTGCAAAGAGTAGAGAAGGTAAGCTAGGGAATTCCAGAGGAATAAACGTTATATGTCTTGCACAGTGTTGAAAAAGTGCTAGAGAATTCCAGAGGAATAAACATTCAGTTGTTTAATTGCTAATATTTCTCCTATTTTGTTCTCAGTATTGGTACAGATCAAAGGAAAGATCGTTCAGTTACAATTGCATGTCACATGATTCACCAAAATCTTAATAAAATGTTCTAAAACACTTCCGAGTCAATTGGTAATGATTCGAAGTACCTTTTTACACTCTCAGAAATCTCACTGTCGCTTGAATATGAAGAATAAGAAAACATGTAGTGAGACGAAAGTAATATCATGTATGAGAATTAAACTTACTCCTCTAGAGAAAGCGCAAGATAGGACTCAATCGTCATTATACAAAGAATTCAGAGTTTCGGTTTCAATTTATTAAACAAATATAGAAGCGTTGATTAATCAAATATGTTCAACATCCAAACTTAATTAGGTTTAAAATTTTCAATTTACTGCTGCAATGTGACTTGTTAACTGGGTAGAAAAACATTAAAATTGGGATTACAACGTGAGAAAGTAGTATTCTGCAATGTGCATACGTTGCTTCAGTGTTGCGATAACTTTATGATATCAACTACGATTACGAATGACTACAAATTAAACTTGTTACAAGTTAGATAAAGATTAAAGCTATCAAAGCACCACAATGACCGTTCGCATCTATCTTACTATGTCAGATCAGCAAGTCAAACAAAAGGAAAGTTTCACTTGGAAAAAATGAATTCAGAACATCTTCGAATTCCCTTGGGATTCCTCTTGTTCACTGCAGGCAGTAACTGATCTATGTAGTCTTCAGATTATTCTCCTAGAAAACAAATTCGTACAAACAGGTACAGCATAAGTTGAACGCCATTCGTTTCCAGAAAGAACCATAATCACTTGGTTCAACCAGTCAGCTCTTCCATTAAGCCCTGTGACCAGGACACATTATATTGAGACCTTGGGCAAGTTTTTATAAAAAGAGTACCACGACATAAGAGTGAAAATTGCCTGGGAGATGTATTGCTCAGCATCAGTTCTTCTGAGAAAAAGAATTGCATGGCGAGCTAAGTTAGCTGACTGATCACTGAGCAGAACATTTCCAATATCCTCTAGTACCCTCACTTTGATGTAGGGATCTTTTGGCGGGACCATGTCCTGGCATTGGCAGAAAGAAATTTGAGACAATATGCAGTCTTTTTGAAAGAACAAGTTCACATTGCGAACCAGTCACAAATTAATCAAAAGATCTGCAGACTTACGACATGCATCAAATCATACTGAAACATAATTCAATGCAAGACACTTGTTTCTTATCTGCTTCCACGCCCAATCCAAAATGAAGAGAAAATAAGATAAAGCAAGATACAAACTTCCTACCAAAGAAGAATGCATAAAGGGACTTACGGAGCTATACCCACTCTTCAGGTACAAGAACAGAAGAGAAATCAATTTCCTAGACTGCAAAATGGCAGCAGGTTGAACTGTTACACCTACAAGCAATAAATCTTTTAACTCCAGTTTGTGAATGCATTCATCTTCATTGTGAAAATGCCATCTTTCAAGACTTTAAGGCTAATTTAGTCATAGTTGCTGGTCAGTGGATAAGCAAAAGAAAATGCCACTAGTGCAGAATTCAGTTGCGTAAAGCTGGCTAAGTTCCTCGTACAATTAGCATGTCACTTGGACAAGTCTCACACGACATCATACAGAATTAGTTAGTTTGTGCAGCAATACAGTCGTTTAACAATTGCTTAAGATCTTGCCATATTCCTCATTCCAATGAGCCGTACAGTTCCTTAAACAGTGAAATTTCTTAAAAATTTAAGGCTATGGAGGAGATAGGTTTTTTACCACAGCAAAATCAAGACGAAGATCATCGTATAGAATTAGTTAGTTCGCGCAGCAATACAGTTATTTAGCAATTGCTTAAGATCTTGCTATATTCTTCACTCCAATAAGCCCCATAGTTCCTTACTCAAGCAGTGAAATTTCTTCAAAATTAAGGCTATAGAGGAGATAGATTCTTACCACACCTAAATCAAGATCAAGTTCTGACATATAAGATTGTAAACTTGCAGCATGGTTCTTGAAATATTCTTTCTCAGAGCCACTGAGCTTCTCTTCTATTTCTTCAGGCAGAACTCTCTCAACAGCCCATCCCAAACTTCGTATAGTTTCTGCTCTATTATACCTATGAAGTTACAGATGCAGATGTTATTAAGCAAGATATGAAACCACACAAAGAGGACTCGGAAAAAGTTTACTGAAATAAACATTGTAAAGCAGATGTAATCTACATACACATAAGCCATCAAACAACGCTTGTTGCGGAGTAGAGAAAGGTGGTGGATGAGTGCCCCCGAGTTGTGAGCTTTTAGCAACGGTTTTTCTGATTCTTCTAATTCCTGGTTATTAAGTTTCTTTTTCTCTTCAATCTTCTTTAGCTCTTCAATTTTCCTGCATCATATCAATATGATTAATGTTTTGAATTGGTTGACCACATGCGCCCCTGAGGCACAAGAAGACCAGAGATGCTATATATCAATGATCTATGCACTTGCATCTCATCCATAGGTGAGAGAAAGAGAGAGAGAGATCAAAAGAAACAAGGGGTCAACAGGTGAAGACAACCAAGTACCTTCTTTATTTTTCTTTTTTTTTTTTTTAATGAATATAAGTATAGTTCAATTCTACTAAAGCCAGAAATTACGCATAAGCTACTGATTTAATAGTTAAATCAAGTTTCCAAAAGTAAGACTTGTTTCAGTTAAGTCATAAGCTACTTTGTGTAAAAACCTAGCCTTTCGACAAGACAAAATGGTCATAAAAGAGAATCTTAGAAGCTTTTCAAGCATTTGCTTTTCTAGTTAGAGACTGTCTTGGGGCTAATGTGGGATCCGCCCAACGGCCTACTGGTTTAGGTAAATATCTAGTGCGTTCGCCAATGGAGAAGTCATTTTTGAAGGAGAAACCATGCGTTTTTGGGACCTGTATGCTTCCTGGTATAAAAAGGAAATAAAAACACAAAGGGAAGAAGGAAACAATAATGGAATCGGATGATGAAGCCTGCAGTGTATCTGCTTGGAAAAAATTCAATCTGTCACACCATTAAACATGAGCCATGATTTTCATCAAAATAAGGACATTATATTACATTGAACATCAAATCAAGTGGATTGAAGTAATTCCTTTGGTCTTAAATTGCTTGAAAACTATCTCACTTCACTTTTTTTCCTTTTTCTTTTCCTTTTTTTGGGGGTTAAATTATGAAGAAAGGAAGAGTTGTCGGGCACTCATGAAAAATGGATTTTTTTAGTACAATTACCATAAAAACCAACCAGCAATGCAAAAAAAAAAAAAAAAAAAGATTATCAGCAAAATGATGCTTTCTTCTCTCTATTTCCTTGGTGAATGTCTATCTATTGGTTAGAGGGTCAAAAACAAGATTTGAAGATGAAGAAAGAAAGGAAGGACATCTAAAAGAGGCTGCAGTGCATGACTCACATTCAACAAGAAACTTACCTTATCAATAAGCCAAGGTGATGGAGGTGGCCTGTACATTCATTGATTACTTGGGCAAATAGGTCATTCTGCGTGGAGAAAATATCAGCAACAAAAGGTGGACAAAACTCAATCAGCCAAGGTCTTGGATAAATACTTAAACTGGGAAGATAAGAAACAAGTTTAAAGTTTCAAATTGAATACCCAACAGATCAACACTGATGAGAATAAGCAAAGACATACAAAATTATTTGATGGAACAAGAGCCAAACAAGATTAGAGCAACAACAACCTACAAATCTATGAGTTGCATATTCTGTGACACAATAAATGAGAGGCAAAAGCAAAGTAAGTCAATGATTATGCAGGCTTCACATCAGAATTCCAAAACTATTTCTTTCTGCTTAAACTATAAAATGAATTCCATTTGTGCATCAGTTCATACCGAAATTATGGTCCCACGAAAATCTGTCTGTGGATTTGTATTTTGAACTCTCAAATATATCACCAGCATTTGAAAGTTAATTATCCTTATTCTACTATTTCAGGGACCTGATATGCTTTTCTAGCTAAAGCAAGTAACAGAACAGTGGTGACAATTTCCAGCTCCAAAGACACAACTAAACATCGTTTGGGACACAACCAATTGCCCAATTCTTGTTGTTTCAGTTAGCCTATCTTCAAAAAAGGGCATATAGCTACAATGACCAGGACACAAACCACCAAAACCAATGCATTTCTATGCAGTGAACAATCAATTAAGCCACCCTTCCTTTCGCCCAACATGCCACAGATTGAAGAAATAGTGATGCTTACATTAAAAGCTGAGAGTTGTCCCGGTTCACTGCTCGCAAGTTCTTTGACTAATTCGCTTCCCCTTTTCCCATACATTCCTCAGGAGTCAGGACTGAAAATTAGACGACCCTCTGGTTCAACTGCACCACATAAGCATTTCATCAAACAGGTCATCCACAAGAATATACTTCTATTTACACAGTTCATAAATAGAATGAAATCTTCTTACCAAATGGCACGACAAATTATACAGCTTCTGTATTATATGCATGAAATTGATCTCTAAACCATGTAGATCCATTTCAAAGTCCAATACACATGTGAAATTATCAAAATTAATGCATCCGTACATTTTCGCGCGCAAAATTTGAACAAAAAAAAAAAGGATAATTCAAGCTGAAATAATGACAATTGAACCTTACCAAAAGAATTACAGAAATGAGGGGCTAAGCGAGATAAAGGGAGAAAATTTTGTGGTAATTAGCTGTGTTTGTGATGTAGCACTCGGTTATGGCCGGCTGAGCGACGCTTTGGCAGGAAATTTTTGACGAGCTTTCAGCTTTAGATCTATTTGAGAATGCAAAAATAACATAAAGGAAATAAATGATACAGGATAGGGGCTAATTTTTCAGAATATTGCCCAAAAACAAAAGATTGTGCTTGGATTGGAGTGTTTTTCAAAGACAAGTTTTTAAAATAAGATGTGAGGTTAATACATTTCAAAAATGCTTTAAAAACATTTAATCCATATAACCTCAAATGCAACTTATAAAAACATCAAAAAAATTTCGTTTGGATTAATTGTTTTTGAATATGTTTTTGAAAAACTTTGCTGTAGCAGAGTTTTTAGATTATATTTTGGGATATTTTTAGAAAATATTTTGGAATATTTAAGAGTAGAAGAGTTTTTAGAATATATTTTGAGATATTTTTTAAAATTTTAAACTAATTTTTAGATTATCTTTTAGAGTACTTTTTAAAAATTTGTATTGTATTTGAAAAACTAATTTTTGAAAAACACTCTCATCCAAACAAAGTTATCTGGATAATTTATATGAATCTCAATACGGGTTTCTCTGGTCCTCTCTCTAGTAGAGGCACTTATCTCTCTAAAAAGAGAGCTCTCTCTCACCGTAGTGGGAGTTTCAGACAAGTTTGAAAAGTTAAACCTGGAAATTTGAAAATTTGAAATTTCAAACACACTCAATCGAACTCAACTCTAGGTGCACGTATTTCATCAATACTCTTGGCTTTTCGAACATCTTTAATGTGCTTAGCTAGCAAAAGTATGTCGGAACTATACCAACAAACTGTAGTTCATTCTCATCTTCCCTATTAAACATACCTGGGGAAGGAGTTAAAGCCTGTCCAATCTCACTAAACCTCAACAAACTAGTAGGCAGAGCAGGAGCAGTAGAAGGTCAAAGAAGTATAAAAGCACCATCCAAAATGCAGATCTGCATCACAGCTACCAAACCGTCTGGATACTCGAACAAGCGGAGGAAGATAATTTCATGACCATAATCTATTTTGCCATAGCAGTAATCCTATAGCCTGTTTGGTCTCATATTACTCCCAGTTTTGCACTTACCTGGAGGAATAGAGTAGAACCTTTCCTTTTATGTTACAATTTCGTTAGAATCTTTAGACTCTGAAATTAGTGTGTGGTATACCATTTATTCTTGCTTTAACTCACGGCGGATGAACTAGCTGAGATCATGCAGAACTTTGACCTCTCTAGTGCAGAACTTCAAACTACTAGCCTTGGAAATGAGAAGACAGTTTGAGGGGTTAAAGAATGTAAAAACAGCTTGATTGGCAAGGTAATGGGGGAAAATGTCAAATTACATTGGGATTAAAAACTTTGTGACAGTAGCATGGAGTTACGCAAGAGAATTGAGGTGGTGGAGCTAGGACCCAACCTGTTCCAATTCATTCTACCGACTGAGAGTGACAGAGAGAGGGTTCTGAATAAAGGACCTAGGATAGTGGACAACCAAGTGCTGGTGCTGAACAAATGGTATGAAGGAATAGAGGAGGATGAAAGGCATTCAGCTTAGCACCTTTATGGGTACAAGTATGGAACTTGCTGGTACACTGGATGTCAAAAGAAGCAAGAAAGAAGATAGGCTTGAACTTTCATCAGGTGAGAGAGGTGATTGTTCCCCAGACTGGGGGTAAAGAAGGCAGACATTTGAAACTTCTTGTAGTGGCAAATATCTCTCAACCTCTATTGAGAGGAACAATTGTAAAGGTTGGTGAACTAACCAAATAGGCTAGCTTCAAGTATGAGAGATGCCCAGACTTCTGCTATAACTGTGGCATAATAGAGCACAGTGAAAGAACCTGTAAGAAGGAAGGTAACAATGGGGTGGGGAAAAAGGACAATCAATATGGCCCTTGGACGAGGGCTTGTAATGTGAGAAGCTCCCTACAGAAAAAACAATCTAGTATGGTGTACAACCCTCAAAAACACTATTGGAGGCTCCAAGATGGGGAATGGAAGGAGCAAAGGAGCTCGGAAGCTCAGGAAAAGACACTAGATGCTCAAATACCAAATGCAAATGATAACACCAAAAAACATGAGATTGAGAATAGGGTGTTGACAAAAGAAGTAAGTAATCAGGGAGAACAAGGGAGAGACAATAGAGAGGAAACCAGCCTACACTTAGATAAGGATACTAACTTTTTTAGTAAAGTAGGCTCTGATCTAGTTAAAATGCATGACCCTGAGGACCTAAGAAGTGAGAATCAGGAACACAATGGGTTAAGTATAAACGAGGGGTAATACAAATAGGAGATAGTGGTACAAAAGAAACAAGTCCTAAAATACAGATGATGGAGGAAGAACAAGATAATATGGCTTCTCAAATTCCCTGGACTGAGTGTTATGAAGAAGGAATAACAGCAATGGAATCAATGAACATGAAAGCAGTAGGGGGTCCAAAAATGCAAGAGGCCCTGGTAAAACAGACCAGAAGGATCTTGAAAGTATTGAGGTTCTCAAAGAAACAAAGGCAACCACTGAAAGAGATACATACCAATACCGTCAGGGAAAGAAAGTCAGGAAAAAAGAAAGTGATTCTAGGGGAACTGGATATGGAAATAGATGAGGACAATTTTCAAAATGGGAAGAGGAACAAGATGGATATGGATGGTACCTTAACAGAAACTGTGAAGGAAGGGGAGGGGTCCAACCCTTTATGGACCCCAATGGTTAAATGAGAGTTCTAGTGTGGAATTGTCAAGAAGTGGGGAGCCCCTTGACAATTCCCTAATTGAGAGAGATGAACAACCTCTCCTCTCCAGATATAATGTACTTATGTGAAACCAAGAATAGAAGCAAGTATTTAGAAAAAGTGAAAAAAATCCTGAACTTTAATGGAGCAATCATTGTGGCAGCCATGAACAAGGCAGGAGGTATGGCTTTATTATGGAAAAAGAAGGTTAGGATCAAACAAGTGTTAAAAACTGCCTTTACAATTGAAGCTTAGATTAAGGATAAGGAAGGTAGGAGTGATTGGTAGTTTATAGGTGTCTATGCCAGTTGTGAGGATCAAATTAGGAAATAGCAATGAAAAGTAATTCAGGCTAAGAAAGGTCTTTGGGGGGAAAGATGGCTACTAGCATGAGACTTCAATGATATTGTGTCGAATGACGAAAAATGGGGAGGCAACTGGAGGGAGGAAGGAAGCCTCAAGGCATTTAAAAACTTTACCAATGACAACCAGCTGATGGATGTTGGCTTTGAGGGACACCCCTGGACCTAGTGTAATAACTGGGATAGGGATAGGGAAATAAAACAAAGACTGGACAGAGGGTTATGTAGTTATCCTTGGATTCAAACTTTTAAAAAGATTACATGCAAACATCTGGATTCCTTTGCCTCAGACCATAGCATGCTGATTTTTTATACCAAGCCAGGTCAAAACAAGAGAAAGAAAAGGTTCTACTTTGATAAAAGATAAGTCCAAAGAGAAGAGTTCAATGAAATTGTCAAACAGGCTTGGGAGCAAGAAGATGATGCACAAGGATGTTCAAGCTAACAAAAAAGATTAAAAGGTGTAGGATAACACTGTTGAAGTCGAAGAATAAGACACAAGGTAATTCTAAAGAAAATATTGAAAGATTCAAGAAACAATTGCAAGAGCTAAAACAGAGTGACATAGAGGACAAGAGAAATAAGAGGAAATGCCTAAAGAATAGATTGAAAGCGGCCTACAGAGAGGAAAAGGTTTACTGGTGCCAGAAAGAAAGAATACAATGGCTAAAGAAAGGCAACAAGAACACTAGATTCTTCCATGCCAGTGTTCAGGGGAGAAGAAGAAGGAATAGGATTGTGAACATACAGAGAGAGGATGGAACATGGACTAGGAATGACGAGGAGTTAAGTGCTGAGATTGCTAAGTACTATAGGGAACTCTTCAAAACCTCAGAGGCAAGGGATCTGGAGGAAGTTCTGAATGGTATACCACACACAATCTCAGGTAGTATGAATGACAATCTAATCAAACCTGTAGATGAAGAGGAAATCAGATCTGCTATTTTCTCTATGAATCCTAAAAAAGCCCCTGAAGTAGATGGAATGCCTCCCATCTTTTTTCAGAAGTTTTGGAACATAGTTAAAAAGGATCTGGTAAGTGCAATTCAAACCTTTTTCTACACTAGCCATCTCATCAAATAAGTAAACCATACAGTCATTTCTCTTATCCCCAAAGTCATGAATTCCACATCCCTTAAGCACTATAGGCCCATTAGCTTGTGCACGACAGTGTATAAAATAATAGCTAAGGTCCTAGCTAATAGGCTAAAACAGGTTCTCCACTTCTGCATCAGTAAAAATCAGTCAGTCTTTATCTCTGGGAAGCAAATCCTTGATAATATCATGATTTTCCATGAGTTCTTACACTATCTAAAAAACAAAAGGCTAGGAAAAGATGGGTTTATGGTTGTAAAATTAGACATATCAAAAGCTTATAACAGGATTGAATTGAGGTTTCTGGAAGCTGTGATGCAGAAAATAGGATTCAATGACAAATGGAGGAGCTGGATCATGGAATGCCTATCAACAGCTTCTTATTCCGTCATAATCAATGGAGAAGTCAGAGAATATGTGATATCCCAAAGGGGGATTAGACAGGGTGATCCATTGTCACCCTATCTATTCCTCTTATGCTCAGAAGGATTCTCCAACCTCCTCTAAAAAGTAGTTGTTGAATAAAAAATTGTAGGAATGAAAATTAGTAAACAGGGGGCCTAGACTAACCCCACCTATTTTTTGCAGATGATTCCTTGATTTCTTGTAAAGCAGATTCTCAGAATGCTGTAGAGCTTAGAAGATTACTTAAAGTGTATGAGAGAGGAACTGGCCAGCTGATCAACTTAGAGAAATCCTTAATCATCTTCAGCAAAAACGTGGAGCACGAGACAAAGGTGGAAATCAGTCAAGCACTAGGAAATATTCAAATGGTCAGCCAAGGCAAATATTTGGAGCTCCCAATGGTGGTCACAAGATCCAAGCAACAGTTGTTTGGGTACATCAAGTATAGCATCCAATAGTGACTAAAGAGGTGGAAAAATAAACTGCTAAGTGCTGCAGGTAAGGAGGTGATGCTTAAATCTATGGCTTTGGCAATGCCAACATATATGATGTCATGCTTC